ATTGGTAGAAGGATGTTGGAGATGGAGCTGCCAGGCAAGAGGTCAAGAGGAAGGCCAAAGAGGAGATATGAGGATGTGCTAAAAGAAGACATGAAGTTAACTGGGGTGAGAGTAGAGGATGCTGAGGATAGAGTTAGGTGGAAACACATGATTCGCTGTGGCGACCCCCAACGGAAACAGCCGAAAGAAGAAGAAGATTGTAATTTATGTAGCATTTTGTATATTTATTTATTTATTTATTCATGAGTGAACACCATAGACAATAAGTCATTTTTATTTTTAAAACAAATAATCAGAAATAAAGACTATCATTCTAGATAGTCTTGATTTATCGATGTTTTATCCTTACTCATACAATCTTTCTATTCACAGTATGCGACATTAACCGACAGTCCGTGAAACCAGCGCGACAGACGCGTATTATTACGCAAAATACGTATGGTCACGTGATATCAAGCTCTGACACAAACATGGCGCCGCGAAATTGTGCGGAAAAGTGCTGTGAGTGTTAACTAATTACTAATTTGTTTTTTGTTGTTCTTTTTTGTTAGCTACTGACAAAACAAACAAACGAGCAGCTGGTATCTTCTTTAAAATGCGGGCAATTAAACAGAAAAGAGAAATACAAGTTTTATTTTCCGTTTTGAGCGTCTCGTGTTCAGGTTTATTTCCATATCAACCGATGTTTTCGCGCAGTGTGAGCTAACTTTAGCAGACTCTTTTGTGAGTGAAGCTATAACTGTGAATCGTACTGATTAATATGCGATATAATCTGCTTTTAGTAATTCTTGTGCCCCTGATTCTGCTCCTTGTTCACTTTTACACAGAGGTTAGTTTGGCTGCGCACTTGTGCTCCTGGAATGATGAGAGGAAGAAGAGGACGGTCTTCATTATCAGGTAAAGCAGGAAATTACTGCTGGGCTCTCTGTTTATATGGTCTTATATTTGTGAAATGTAACACATCAGTTCTGTGTGCCTGCTGGTTAAAGCCACCCAGGAGCACGCCAGGATGGCTCTGGGGAAGGATGGTAGTGGTGTTACCTCAGGAAGCCAAATGATAGACGAAGAAGCCCCGGACGACGAAGCTGTTAGTGACAGTGACAACGAGGTAAAGAAATGGCAAGTTCCTCTCTGGTTAGGTCAGAGCAGATTTGATGAATCAGTAGTAACTATCGTGAATTGCGAGAAAAGCTTTTACTTCAGCGTAGTTCATTTGATTCTTCATAAAACACGTATTGATGAACATGTGCTGCTGACAGAAACAAGTGGACAAATGTACCAAAAGTTTTGTTTTTCCAGGAGGCACCATCACCACTGCCATCAGCGAGAGAGAGACGCAGGAGAGAGAGGGGAAACAAATCCAGGTCCAAAGGTACACAACATGATTTTTAACATGTGCTTTTATTTTGTGTTGTGCAAACGTCGTCTAAGGTTAAATCAGAAATGTCTGATTTATCTAATGTCTCTTTATCTAATGAGTGAGTTACTGTACACATGGCTGCTTTTTGTGCTGCTACACATGAAACTGCATGTGGGATATTTTGCGATGGTTGCATCAGTGTGTGCGCAGATGTGTACAAACATGATGATGTTTATTCATTTTGTTCCTGAACGAGCAGAATCAAAATGCAGTTATCTCGAGGTTCAGACCAGTCAGAGAAAGTAAACTTGGATTATGTAAAACTCTGGATTTACATAACAAGCAGGATGTTAGTGAGTCTGTAATAATAGGTTCACCCTGGTGTGTGGTGTTTTCAGAACTGACTGAGGAGGAGATGGTGAACCTGGCCCTGCATCTGAGTGCACAGGAAGCCAATGTCGGTGTGTTCAAGCTGCAGCAGGAGGACGAGGCCATGAAGAAAGCCATCCAAGAGAGTGTGAGGACACGCTGGTTTGTCTGTGTGGGGGACATGCGCTCAGGTGTCAGTTCATTAGGAACAACTAGTTACAACTGAGTCAGTCTTATCCAACAGTCCTGCATTAAATGAAAGTGATGATCTTAGGTCTGTGTTCACACTGTTTCGCATAGCTGTTGACTGACTGTGTGATCATTGTGAAGGCTGGAGTTACTCTATTATTTTGTCCACCACATGTATTTCCTTCCTAGGCTAAATATTAGAAACTCAAATGAGAGAATTTTGACTTTCCATACCGATGAATGCCTCTCTAGTGTACATACAGTGTTTCTCAGTTGTTTTCCCCTTATTGCCTCCCGTGCATACAAACACATTTAGCTGCAAAACGGCACAGAATGAAGCTCTGTCTGAAGCAGCAGTGATGTTTGAAGTTTTGATCATCAGCAGTCATGTGGTTTTCGTCATCTGACACAAGCTCTAACACTGTCTGTTAAAGTCTGCATCAGAGGAGTGAAATGAGCTGCTGCATCATCTGTCCATCACTCATTGTCACATTTTTCTTCTGTGGTTTTTTTCTCTCTTAGATGGACAGTCAGACACAACCGTGCTCACCTTGCCAGAGTCAGAGCCTGCTGCCTGCCGGTGTATCGTCGCTCAGGCTCTGCTCGCGACGGAAACTCTCATTTTCAGACAGGAAGTGGACGTCTGCCATCGATGAGGGAGCATCAGAGGATGTCTGCCCACCAGAGTCAGACCTGCACCGAGGTGAGTCACTGACACCCACTGATTCTCTTCTGTTGGTATATATCCTAAGTGAAGTACAGTGCAAGAAAGGAAAATACATCACAAGGGGGAATAAATGGTGTTAGCATTTGATCAGACCAACTACATGATAAAATCAAACTGCTGAAAATCCTGAAAACATGCTGTCAAATCCCCAGAAGCAAACACAGCTGGAAATGAAAATAATAACGGCAATAAAAATCGGAAAAGGAAACGAGGAAGTCCGCTGCCGGAGATGTCAGACTTGTCCCAGACTCAGAAACTCTGCTCTCAGGTTTCACCATGCAGCTCCAAGTCTCTGTCAGCACCTCTCGGTTCACCGCAGGTTCGTCCCAGACATGTCTTGCTTTCCTTCAAAGCTGATTGTTGTTGATCAGTCTGTTCTATTTGTCTAATGTGAACAGTAATTAGTTATGAATGATTAATTTATACTGGAAACCACATATAGCTGATGTCAAAGAGAAACTGACAATTGGTTGCAGTAAATCAAGGCTCATTATATACTTGCTGTTGTACATTTACTTTACTTAACTGTGTGGATATGCACTGATCAGCCACATTAAAACCACTGGCAGGTGAAGTGAATACTGAACACTACAATTTGGGTGTTAAGTTTTTTGGAATATCTTAGTGTTTATATATGATGATATTAGTTTTGTATCTTAAGCTTTGAAGAAGACATCTGGTTAATTTAAGGAATAAATTCCAAGCTGCATAACTGTTTGTATTGATCCTGCTTTTTGCAAATGCATTTATGATGTACGTATGCCAAAGAAAAGCATGCCATCTTCACATTTGAGAAGCTGTTAACTGCATTGTTTTCCTTAAATGTTACTAAAATGATGATGTGACTAATGGCTGCAGCTCTACCTGTATATGACTTTGCTGACATATGTACTTATATTTTCTCAACAACTCAGAGCCCTGACTCGACCCAAATCGACGAGTGTCAGCTCATGAAATCCCCTGTCTTCCCCTCGACTGGCTGCAGAGTCGAGGTTCGCATCCCCCGGCTGAGCCAGGACCTGCTGCACACCTGCAGAACCTCAGGGTTTGTGTTGTGTTCTCAGGACAGTTGTACCATGACTCCAAAGTCTCTGTCTGCTCATCCCAAGAGCCCCACGTTTCCCAAAAGCCCCAGAGAACTCGGGGCGTGTCCTAAAAGTCCTGTCTTCTCAGAGACAGATCAGGGTGATGACAGTGAGGCGGAGCTGAGCCCTGAGTATGTGAAAAGTCCAGTGTTTGGCACGAATACTCAGCATGAGCGGTCTCCAAGTGCCTGCACAGCCAGTGTCGGTGTCTGTGGAAACTCAGGGTTCATATTCTCCTCTCAGGGGACTTTAATCTCCTCTATGAGGTCCATGTCCTGTTGGCCTAAGAGCCCGGTGTTCCCAAGAAGCCCCAGGAACCTCTCTCCCTTAGAAACATCAGCAATCGGCAAAAATCCTGTAATCTCAGAGACTGACCGAGGACAGACTGAGCAAAGGCATGGCTGTTCTACAAGCCCTGTGTTCAGGACCCAACGACGACAGAAGATTCATCCTGATGTGAATAAGTCGCCTGTGGTTCCTTCAGCTCCAGAGCTTGGAGGTTCAAACAGTGAAGGGTGTTCCCCCCATGTCGGGGATCCTCCTCAGAGTCCCAGACAGGTGAGTCAGAGGGGGTCTAGGTGCACTGGTGGAGGAAGCAGTCAGGTCCTTAGTTACAATATAAAGCTATAATGTTGTTTCTAAATCACCCTGTACAGAAACATTAATAGTTCAGACACTGTACACACTGATGACCAGCAGTTCAAACCTGAAAATGTTTCAGTTTACTGTGAGAAAAGACAAGAAAAAGCAGCAAATGTTCACATCTGAGAAGCTGGAATCATGAAATATTTGATATTTTTTCAATTAATGAGTTAATAAGCTAGTGTGAAGTTTGTGTTGATCAGCATTCTGTAAAACCTGCCTCATCAACAGTCTGTCAGATGAATATGTAGTGTAGTGAAAAGTCCAGTGTTTCCTTTAGAAATGTTATGGATTATTGTGGATATGGGTTTTATCATGTGTAAAAACTGGAAAGTAACTACTAAAACTCTAGCTGTGAGATAAAGGTAACGGGTGTCATGTGACTTTTTAAATTGTTGATCTTTCTCAAACTTTACTTTCAGACATCAGAGGGTGGTTTCCTCCCCTGTCATTTTCCACGCCCTCATGCACACTCTTAACACACACATGCTGGTGACTTCCTGCTCGTTTCTCTGTTGCTCTTTGTTTTTAATGTAGGACACCCAGACTACTCACAGTCAAGATGGTCGATCTAACAGGATCGCCACATCATCTAAGTCAGGTATGGTGACGCATCACACACTCAGCTTTCTGGAGGTGTATTCGTGAACAGTGTGAGTTCAGGGGTAACAGGAGCGCATCTACATCAGTGATCTGCCAGAGGTGGTGTGATGTGATGGTCACCAGGTCTCTGTTCTACATTTAGGTGGTGCACAGGAGCTGAATGAAGCATCCAAAGACTGGAACGAGACAATGATGACCGGTAATATGACGCTGCGCTGGTCTGATGAGGAGGAGGAGGACGACGACATCACAGTACGCAGGCACCCCCGCCGTTACCTCTATGTTTTTGAGCAGATTTTGCGTTCTACTAACATGTATTTTATGGTACTGGTGATATTGTGTGTTGTCAAAAAGTCCAAGGAAAGAACCAAACCAACAGTCAACGAGTGCGACTAACTAGCTGTGTTTGTGCAGCTGAAGCCTGACCCCCCTCCTACCTCTGAGCCACGGAGCTCCACTGTGATCAGAGACCATTAAAACCCACCAGTGACCACACTGTTGCACCGGGTGACATATTCCTCCATCACCATGAACAGGCACTGGATTTTATTCAGACTCAGTCCCACACACACCGTCCTTCTGCCACAGATACTCACTAGAGACCAAAAGTGGATTCATCCGCCACTGAAAATAGTCCCCAACATAAGGGAGGAACCTTTTGTACTATGCAGTCATTTTTGGTTTGGTTCTTTTCATGGGATTTGTTGACCAGTAGAAAAATGAAGAGTATCACCAGACTACTTGCAGTATAAGTAATTTCACTTAATGACATAAACACTACAGACTACCAACCGAAGGTTTTAGAGCACCCCCGTTTTTCCAGTTTTTATTGATGTGAGCAGATCAAGTGCAGTGAATTACCTTAAATGGTACAAAGCTAAGAAGTAAACATCATCGGCAGCACAGGGTCCAGACTGAAAGCAGAGCAGCCGCCAGGTGCAACACATCTGTGGCAACATCTGCAGCAGCGCCGTTTGTCCCAGCAGTGTTTGGTTTCAGTTGTAGAGAGAATGACACAGGTGTGTTCAGCTGCTGGATCACACTGGTAACAGCTGGACACACTGGGGTGACCTGAAACATCTGACCTATAGTGTACTACAGTGCTTTGCCTTAAAAACATCACGAAATTGTCATAATTCCGTTTATATTTTATTCACAGTTCATTTCTGTTAATCTTTGCCTTCACCTCTTTGAGTATTTTTCTGTATTAGCACTTGTTCTTGTGTCTCATTGGCTGCATATCAAGTTAATTAGCTTAGTTTGAACTGGAAGCCATAGAGAATATACTGTCAGGGAAAACAGCTGGGGTTTTATTTTGTCTGTCTTGACCACTGATTTTGCTTCATCTGCAGCCAGTGGGCTCTCCCAGCCCGGTCTTCCCAGAGGAGAGACCTGTTCATCAGGCCGACGACCAGGCGGCCCCCCTGAACCATAAGGCTGCAGCGTCTCCAGGAACGGGCGGGTCGAACGGCAGGTAGAGAAACTACACCTGCATTATAAAGTTAGAGCTGATCACAACTCACAGTGCTCCAGCCTCAAGTGATGTAGATGTTAGTTTGCCTCAGGCTCCCACAAATAGAAAACACATTTGAATGTTAAAATATTCTCAGCTCGTACCTGAGAGGCTATTTGTGTGTGTGTGTGTGTGTGTGTGTATGTGTCTGTGTGTGTGTGTGTTTTTTTTTTTTTTTTTTTTTTTATTTATTCTTTCAAACATGTAACGACAGTCAATATGTCAACACACATAATTTCACACAAATCCACAAATGCATTATCAATTTGCTTATACCTAGTACATGCTTGAATGGAGTAGGAAGAAGTCAGACTTATCTAGTCCTACCCCATGACATCATCTTACCATCATTGGTTTGCAAGCAGTATTACTACGTAGATAATTTTCTTCTACACCACACTAGTGATGTACTAAAAAATATTACAGACTGTTAACATTCTTACATAATGACATACTTTGGTAATTATCTTCTACATCACACAAGTAGAGATATTACATAGTGTTAACATTCTTACACCACACCCACAATGTTACACCTGATTAATAGTTAAACCTGTTCTTGCATATATCTTGAATGACACATACCTTTATATTTATGTTTAAACTCATCAATTTTCTTACTGTTTTTATGTCCACACTTAAATTATTCCATAGTTTTACCCCACTTATGGAAATACAAAATATTTTTTTGGTTGTACGTATAGCATGAATTTAATAATTTAAATGACCCCTTAAATTGTATCCCCCTTCACTTTCATTAAATAGTTAACCAAATTACCCATGTTTTTTTAGCTAAGTCTTTCTGGACAAATTCAATATTTTGTATATATCATTAACCTAAAATTTAATTAGTCCTTTGTCACATTTCACTTCATGCCAACAGTTTTTGTAGCAGCCTAGAGTCTTTCTATGTTTGACTGATGAATTTTTACTCCCTTCGGGTTCTGAGATATTTTCTTTCAGTAGGTTTAAAATCTGCCCACAGATGTTCTGTGATGTTTGGGTCTGGGGACTGGGAGGACTTGTCTGTCTTAGTGGTTCATCATGAATTATCAGGTCTGCTGGTTAGTTAGCCAAATAGTGGATGTTTAGTCGCATGCTAAGATGAGGTAGCTGAGGGTGAGGATCCAGAGTTTTTTCAGGTTCTAGGCTGACTGCAGAACACTTAACATTAGTGATGGACAAAACAAGGCCGAATCAGTATGAAGGTTTGCAGTAGGTTTGTAAATACCTCTTCCTATTATGTCAGTGTACATTCATATCACTGTGTGGGATGGATATGCTTGTTGGAATGTGATTTTGCCACAATAAAATGTTTTACACATATGGTTGAGCATCCAGAAAGTGATTGTGCTATATATAAAAAATATATGGGGGATGTTTGTTTTATATGGACATTGTGTCAGTAATAGACACAAAAACTCAGTTCCATTCAAACAACCCACAGTCTGGGGGGATTCATTGCACTCATATCCAGTGTACTCACCCTGTATCCAGACCAGTGTCTACACATCTGATATTCATGATGTAATGAAGCCTTGTTTGGGGCGGTCAAGTGATTTTTGGCATGATGAAGTGGGGCATGTAAACCTCTTGGCTGGCGTCCTGTTCCACAGAGGACAATATTTCCACCTTCTGTCTTTAAGGGTTGACTGCAGATCAGACGACACATGTCACATACTATAGTATGTGTCTCTCTGTTTCCAGCCCGGGGCGTGTCTCAGCCCGGGGTTTCGGCACACCCAGGGATCGGAGCAGCTCCAACAAACATGTCTCGCTCAGATCTCCTTCCTCTTCTGCATCCACCAGCCGACAGCAGCCTTCCAACACGGAGCGAGAACCACAGCCGACGGTTCACTACTACTGGGGGGTCCCCTTCTGTCCACGAGGCCTGGACCCGGACAACTACACTCAGGTTGAGATTTGACTCACTGATTATAAACAGCGAGCCCGTTTCCATTTGAGGTCTTCTACAGACAAGTTCCACCGACTGATCAGTCGATGGAACATGATGAAGTCGTTAATCAAGTAAACATACCAATCATCTCTGGCTGCAGCTTCTTGGATGCGAAGGCTTACTGCTGTTTGTCTTATAAATTGAATCGGTCAAACAAGACGACGTGATGAGATTACCTTGTCCATACAATGCAAACAGTACGGAGGTATTATAATTATACACGTAGAAGAATAAATATCAACTGATAATAAAATTGATTATCTCCAACCTGACGGGAAACAAACATCACTGCATTTGTTTGTTTTTTTTTCCATTCTCTCTCTTCTTCATGTCAAACAATAAAAATGTCAGATATTCAGTAGTGGAAGAAATTCTCAGGTCAGTAATTCAGAAAAAGTACCAGTTCAGCAATCACTGTTCAAACTTCTACTTAATAAAAGTACAGAAGTACTGCTCCAGCAGCAGGTGAATCTCAATTCCACTACTTGTATAGTTAGCTAGTTTAGTCTAGTTGTTCCCAGCCTGGGGGTTGGGCTCCTCCAGAGGGCCTGCACTTACTGAAATGAGACATCTGAGAAGCTCCCAGAGGAAACTTGTAACAACTCTTACACATCTGAAATATAATGGGTCTGATTTTAGCGAGAGCTCACAAACACAGAAGGTCGGGGACCACTGCTTTAATCTTTAGCATGTTTTAAAAAAGTAAAACCCTCATTTGAAAAGTGACAATAGCTATCAGATAAATGTAGTGGGTTAAAAACTGTTTTCCCCTCCCTAAATGTACTGCAGTAATGTGTGTGTGTGTGCGTGTGTGCGCGCGCGCGCAAAGTAGCGTATCCTCAGCTGCAACCTGAATTGCTCTCTGATGTGATGGGTGTGTCTGGCCACAGGTGATCCTGGCTCAGATGAAGGTGTATGAGAAGTGTCTGAAGCAAGCCCAGAGGCATCTGCTGAGGAAGGCTGAGTGGGGGGAGCCCATCCTGCCACAGCCAGAGGTACCATCATGGCTTTAAAAGTTTTCAGCACTCATAATTTGGGATGTATCAAGTATGTACCAGTACTGGGTCCAGTACACCCTCTAGTACTGGTGCTCATACTCAGTTATCTGGTACTATGCAACAATACCATTTAACAGTGTCTCTGTTCCAGTGCAATTTTGTCCTATGTGTGACTTTCAAAGATATACCAGACAAATATTTATAGACTTTTTCAGTTTGTCAGCAAAATTGGTTTTTTATTTTCTTCCCCAGGTGTGTTATTTGCAGCTGCTTTGAGCTGAAGACAATGGGCATAAAATGACCTGCTTTTTGAATCGATTCAATAAATTGTGACTCATTGATCAAATATAATATTTTCTTCCTAGAAATCCCAGTCACCTGAGTCGCCTGCTGAATCACCTGAGCGTCACATTCCTCGAAGGTAAAACCTGCCTGAACCGGATCAGCTCCTCTTCTAGCCTGCGTCAGTGAGAACTGGTTTGTGGTGTATTTAAGAGCCGATGCAGAGCGACCGGTTTCATTTACAAGACTTCAAACAACATGAAGCGTTAACAGCCCGACAGCAGTTAGTCACACAGAATTCTTTTCAATTATCTTTCTTGTATGAATTTGTCTTAAAATATGGCCTAAGTTACAGTTATGAGCAATTTATTTTAACTAATACACAGATGATTGTGCTGTGTTGTCCATATTGAAGACGTCCAGCATTCACAGTGTAGGTAGCAAACAGCACGCGACTCCCTTGGCTAATGACATCAACAAAAACTGATCGGAGTCGGGAGCTAGGAAACCTGGAGTTCAGTAAATGAAACACGATTGGATGTGTGTGTCAGACCTGATCTGACCTATAAAAACACCCAGATCATAGTTTGTGCTTTTATCATAAGTACGTTGTGTTTTTCTCTACCTGTGGTGAAGGTCAGATCACCTTTTGTGGCCAGTTAATGCAGAAAACCAGGTCATTCCAAAGGTTTGCACCTTTTTCTTGGCACTGATGTTTTTTGAAGTTTGTATACACATGCATGGATTACTGAAGGAGCCTACAAGGCACAGGCCCAGCGGCCCAAGGGTTTAGAGGGCCCCTGAGTCACAGCCTCTTGTTGTGAAGTGACTGTTAACATTTCCTGTTGAAATGTCAACCAAGTGACTTGAAAAAGACACAAAACTACCGGAAAGATGCACAGAACGACAACAAATAGATGCAGAGTGATTGCAAAGAGACACAAAAGCTCCCACAAAGACTCAAAATGACTACAAGAAGGCACAGAATGACCAGACAGAGAAACTCATCTTCAAATAGATGCAGAACAACCACTGTCAAAATGCTGCAAAGACAGACAAAAAGAAAATTGAGTGATCTTATTTTGGATGCTTTTTTTTTTCTTTTTTTTTTAAGTCGGCTCCTTTTTGTTATTTACTAGTTTGGATACAGTGCAGAGTCAGAGACAGTAAACATGTCTTTATGTGCAGTAGCTGAACAGTATTGTCTGTATGTCACTAGGTGTCAGTAGCTGGTGTGATTATACTGTCCCTGACTGTATAAACAAATGCATGGTTTGGTGATGAGGAGTTCACTGCCAGGATTAACTCGGCATGTGTCTGAACAAGATTTCGGAGTAGTTTCTGTACTGGGTGATTTCAGGATGTCTGTTGTGTTATTCAGTGATGTGATGTGTATATATATATATATTTCCAGGCCTGGTCTCAGGCAGAGAAGCAAGAAACAGTGTGAAGCAGGTGACTCCTCTCCAGCTGAGGCAGAGGAGGAGGAAGGACAAGACGTGGAGAGGGAGGAAGGAGAATGGATAGGAGGACAGGCAGATGCTGACGACTTTGGGGTTTGTCCAGGTACTGAAACAGCTCATGCTGTAATATTTGTCAATAATCCAGAGTACCAAAGAATGGGAGAGCGTTCCAATGGAAGCTCAGTGTAGCAGTTAAATGATGCCCATTATTTGGCCCCAGATAGGGGGGTGTCAGGCCATGACGTCATAAATCTTCAGAGCCCCACAGTAAGCAGCACCATTTTCCAGACCTAACCTGCCCTTAACACAAAGCACCCTGAACCTTGTCCTCACCCAAACAAAAAGCAGATATGTGGCTTGACCCACAGCGTCTGCATTGTATTTGCTCGGGTTAAGCAGCGGCTCATCCAGCTGGCTTGGAGTGGCAGTCGCCTTTGAGAACCGGGTCCGCTCAGCTGTCCAACCACTGACACTGTCTAACAGAAGAAGACTGTTAACAATTCCAGTGAGGTTGTAACTATATTACCACCAACACCAGTTCTGTGTGGGTGTAGGAGTGAAGGCAGGTCTACAGGGTCATCAGGTGGGCGCCCTCTCACTAACTGGTGTTTCGTTGAGTTGGGCCCAGGGCACCGAGAAGGCTCGGTGTGTTCCAGAGTCCCAGAACCACCCCCCCTCTTTGCCTGCACCCACACACCCAACACAACCCTCCATCTGCTCAGGCTATTAGCAAACTGTTACTGTTCTAGCCACCAAACTTTTAAAATAACTCAGACATTCATAATAATAACTCAGATAGCTTATCAAACAACTAGCCAGACTTCTGCTTCCTTTTATACTGCATCAGAAACCACCCTGTGTTAGTATTCATCTCAACAAACCCCTTAAAACCAAACTCCTTTCCAGCCACACTCCTCTGCCTCAGTAGCTAGCTCGGTGTATTTCAGATTCATCTTCTTTATCCAGTACATTGCTGCCATTGTTGCGTCTTTAAATTTGTGACATTGAGCCTTTATTGTTTTTATAATTAACCCTGAGAAAACATTTTACAAGTGTATATAAACACAATAAATTGATAACATACATTTTTGGCCACCAGCTTGCGGCTCTGTGGATAAACAAATGAAAACTTTCAGTGTCTTGACACTTGATTAAAGACTGCTGATGTAATCTGATATATATATATATTTTTTTTTTCAATTTAAATACCAGAGACCCAACTGAGTGACAGTAACAGCACGCAAGATCTGATAATGGCCACAGGCAGTAGAGTGGAGGTGAGCTCCTACTGAATCTCAGAAATACTCCATGTTGAAACCCTAGTCAAAGGTCATCATGAGACGGATGGATGTTCTCTGAAGTTGATTAGTTTTCATGACTTATAGAGGAAAGTCAGGAGATGTGTGTGATTAATAGTGTGCAGCCTGTGGTTGTTTTATTTGAGTGTTTTCTCCACATTTCAGTCTGATGGTGAAGAGTCTCAGAAAAACATCCCCTCACTTTGCTCTGATTCCTCTGCAGCTGAGACCTGAAAGTCCAGAGGTGCTGGAGGTCGGGACGATTTTCCGAGGCGATTCTCCAGCCGGGGACAAGCCACCAGAGGAGGAGGAGCAGATGGAGGTGGACGGTAAGGCTGAATGTTGTGGGCTAGTGTAAGGCTGAGGTGGGAACAGATGCATGCCAGCATCCAGTACATCTTAAAATCAGCCTGTCTATTTTCAGCCCCAGAGGACGGAAAGATGGAGGGAAGCATTCCTGACTGTGGGAAAGTTGAAGAACAGAATGTGAGAATGGAGGAGGAAAAGGTGGACAGGGGGCATCCAGATGTGGAGGAGATAAAGGATCCAGTGCATCAAAGATTGTCATCTCCTGAACTAGAACTAGCCGCCATTCCTCCAACTCCCGAAACCACCGTTGACTGTCCCATCTGTCAGGGATCCTTCCCTGTGACAGAAATTGAGGTTCATGCGGCCTACTGCGATGGAGAGGTGGCCGTCGTGGACGAGAGGAGGCCTGAAGGCGACTGTTTCCAAGGTGGTACACACTTCGTTTTGCTTTACCAGCACCTATGACATCCTGATGTTTCCTATGCTGCCTCGTTATGAGAAACGTATTATACTTCGTTCTCATTTCCGAAGTCGCTTTTGATTGAGTTAGTCTCATTTTAGTTGTGAAAAAGGTCCTCACTTAATATCGATACTGATCTCCAGAACAAGCAGCTGTAACAAAATCACAAGATTCTTCCTTTTCGCTCTTTTGCTCCACTCTTTTTTTTTCAGTCCTGTGGTTCTTGGTTTTTCTTGCCAGACTAAACATTTATCAGAGGGTGCTGCAGTTTGGATGGATGAAAATAAAAATGATTTGAAAGCCAAAATCTGTTGTCATTGTGCGACTGTGCAGCTGTTAACAGCAGTTCAGCCATTTTTGACATCAGTTGTGCTGTTTTGATGATTTAAAATGAGGTGTCCTCTCCACTTCAGTGTCTTTAAAGCCACGTAGGAAGAGAACAAGACGAGCAGATGAAGAGAGCAGCAACCCCTTGAACGCTGGCAAGTAAGTAGGTCTGACCTGTTGTTTTTAACTGCAAGAACTCATGGTTTTCTGACTGTTTTTAAAATTTTGTCTTGTTTCTTATTTTCTATAGGAACCAAGAGAAGTGTTACATCTGTCAGAAAGCCGTTCCTTTGAGAGAGTACAGCCGACACACAGAGCTCTGCATCCATCAACATTCATCAAAGGCTGAAGCAGTAGGTTACACATTCATTTGGTCTCGTCATGCAAAAGCATGGCTCTAAGCCCTTCTCACTTCCCTAGATGTGACCTGTTTGTTACAACTTTTTTTTCTGTTTCTGAAGTCGCAGAGAGGATGTCTGCTGTCGGCTCTGGAGCAAATAGAAAGCAGAGGTTCAGGCAAGTCACAGCGTCTTTTAAAGTGTCACACCACTCAGGCTAGCAGCTCTGTGGACTCAGGCGCTCTGGTGGTTTAGCTAAACGCTAACGGTGCCAGTGTTACCATGCCGTTGTTCAGCTAGAATACTGTTGATTCTTTGAGTTTGCTGTGTTACCATGTTTTCTTATTAGCACTAAACACCTTGTACAAGTGTACAGTTGTGCAGGTTTTTGCCATGGATGTATGAAGGAGAGCTGGATACCGGATTACAAAGTGGTGCCCATTCTTCTCACTTTGCTCATCTGGTGCAACGCCAAAACAAATCTCTTAGTGTTTCCCTTGCTGACCCCATGCACTCCTGCTCAGTCCATAGACTTTATACATTTCACCCAAAACCACCAACCTCATGGTGGCGCTAGAGGTCAGGGGACAGTCAGGACAGTCAGGAGTCTGTCCTCACCTCAGACCCTGACAGAGAGCTGCTTCTTTCCAGGGCACTAAGACGCTTTGTCAGGAGCTTTATCTGATTTCAGATGGAGCCTGGGACTAAGCGATCCTCTGCGAATGGAGGATCTCTCTGCTTTCTTTTGTTTCTGCCTTTAAAAAAGGAAAATTTTTAGGTTGGGAGTGAAAATACACTAGCAATCTTTAGATGAGTCTATGAATTTAGAGCAGGCATTTTGTTATGTTTGCCTTCATTATATTGACCAAAATTATTTATAAATAGTTGAGAAAGTGGCCATTAGTGTGTTCCAGGTCAAGTTGTGTCATAGCTGAAGAAACAGCATGGCTCACAGGACAGGGTCTGGTTTATTCCCAGTTACTGATCCTGATTTTTAATTTTCTGGTTCAGGCAGGCTCTCAGTCGCCATCAGCATCAGAACAAAAACATCAGTAGCGCAATCAAAAACTCTCATGAGACAAACTTCAGTTGAAAATGAGATGAGCAAAGTAAAAATAAATAAAATAGCATGTGGCAACATTTGCACCAGACACAGTCTCTCTGTTTTTTAATGGTTTATTTTGTCCTGCACCAACTTAGGTTGCAGGTGCACACTTTTCATCCTGTTGCTTTTGGAACTTCAGCTGATTCACTGCTCTGTTCTTGTCCTGTCCTCACAGACGCTGGGCCGTCTGGATCCAACCTCCAGCCCAGGTAAGATGTCTCAGAAACAAACCTCTGTGGCGCCGATATGAAACCGTCACATTCAAGCTGTAAAACCATATATGTGGTTTATGATCATGCAGCTTTATTTGTTGCAGCAGTCAGACATGCACCCCTTTACGTCATTCCTGTCATGTGTTCATTTACTTTTAGAGATGTGATCGACCTACGGGATGATGACAAAGAGGATGACGGCGTCTCAGCGTTCAGGGTCAGTGACTCTCCCATCAGAGCCTTCACTTCCATCTCAGAGGCCACAGACTGCCTGATTGATTTCACAAAGCAGCCGCGAGCCAAGAAGCTGAGCCGGAAACGAAGATGAGGAAGACCTCCCGGCTGAAGACAAAAAACCGGAGCCTTAACTTAATAATTATCAGGTTGAACATCACAGTACAGTTTAGAAACTCTTTAACACCTTCCTCCTGATGTCAGACTCTAGATATTTCTGCAGGTAAACAAACTCAAATCGAAAGGATGAGTGTTCAGAGGAACCTGTGACTCTTTGCTACTAAATGTTCTGTGTTTCAGACTACCTCTCCCTGAATTCAAGCATTCCCTTTCTGTTATTGTAGCTTTGCTTTAACATCTGATTTGGGCGCTTCTTTTACAGAACAACCAGCAGATTCACTGATAGTGAAGACAGTTGTTAGCTGCAGCCTTTCACTCACTTTGTGACGGTTTGTCTGATCACAGACCTGCCTGCACCTGATGTAAACTTCTGCTTTTCAACCAAGCTACAGAACGTTGGCCTGACGACTGCTGCTGTCAGTGCAGAGCCTCCGAGGTGGCTGAGGAAGACAGAAGTACATGGCTACACAGACAAGGAGCACTTCATATCATTATATAGGCCAAAACATGATTCTTATGTTGTTGTTTTTTTATCAATCAGACAGTGAACATACCCTCCACAGTTATAGAGTGCGTATCACCTTTACATTAAAAATGCTGGGAATCTAAACTCTCCTGGTTTGATTCATTGGGGGCTCTGTTTAAAATGCTAACTTTGGATCCTTTGTCTTGTTTCCTGACAAACATCAAATGTTGTGAGCAGTTAAACATTGAAGGTGCTGTGAGATCCTCATCAGGAACCTGCTGTTCCTTGAGCCTTCACTATGTGGAAGGAAGTGCAATGCACTTAAAGCCTGACACTCAGATTTTCCCTTTTAAGGTCACAAACTGCCCAGTGCAGGTCTTTCATCACCGTGTCTTGAGACACTTCTTGGTTTTGACAGTGAATGAAGCAGCGATGAACAAAATGTTTGTTTGGGGGGGGGGTATTTTGAAGAGGTTTGCATTTAAGCAGCTAAAAATCTACAATGGTTTAGTTTCCCCTCTGACCATGTTTCCTTTTTTTACCACACTGACCAAAACCACAGCAGGAACATATCTCAAAATGCTTACTGCAAAGTTGAAATTGCTGGAGAAATAATACTTCCCCTTTATTTGTCCTTTGATACTGTATCAGCACTTTACTGTGCTAGTTGGACTGAAGCAGAAGCAAACTCGCTGCAGTGCACTGAACACGTGTCTGCTCCTTGATTGAACCCATGCAGGTAACGTCATAATTTCACAGGTGAAACTGTGAACATCACTTATATCCTCCTTTACCTGGTGAACATCTTTCTTTGGTGTTGGTGCTGCTGTTACACTTTAGTTTGAAACTGCCAGACAGAGGTTTCTTTTTCCTGTGAGAGTGAAGCAACATGTGACTTGTTCTGTAAGATTCTCAAATTTGATTTGTTTAGGCAGAAGTTGTAACTTTAAATTGTTTCTGTTCTTAGAGAGTTAGCAGAGGTATCATGTATTTTCATTATATATTATAACTGCTACAGTAGGTTGAGCATGTGCCAGTTAACTAAATTACCTCATTTCTTAACGTATCAATAATTGTAGACCTTATTGTCTCCGCTGCTTTTCCGCCGTTCTCTGACCAATAGAACCGCATTACATTTCATTATTTGTGACGCTAACAGTGGTGGAAGAAGTACTCGGCTCCTTTACTCAAGTAAAAGTAGCAGTAGCACAGTGTAAAGTTCTGCATTCAGAATGTGACTTGAATGTGAAAAGTAAAAGTTCAAAAAAAATTAGCACCAAACATACTTGTAGTACCATCAGTACCAGTACTCGTCCTGCAGAACAGCCCGTGTCCCAGTAATGTCTCTGATACCACTGGATCATAGTGACTGATGCGTTACTGTGTCCATCACTTTAATGCTGCAGCTGGTAAAGGTGGAGCTGATGTTAACTACCTCATATACCTATACTGTGAAGTAGTTTCCATCCTACTGGGTAGCTGGTGGATTTCCCACCAGGATCAATAGAGTCTGATGGTTCTACTGGGTTTGGTTAGTTTATCTGATTCTGGAAAGGAACTGAAGTTATCAGATACATGTAGGGCAGTAAAAAGTACACGGTTTGTCTCTGACATGGAGTGAAGTCACAGTATGAAGTAGCAGGACGTGGAGATGCTCAAGTAAAGTACAGGTACATCATGACTGTTATTTGTGTAAATGTAGCCTATTTTGATTCTTTCCACCACTGAGCGTTAAAAAGGCCTTAAAATCGGAGTTTGGCAAAACCCGCAGAAACACCCCAGAGGGAGACAGTTCAAGTATGTGGACAGATTTTTACTATCTTGTTTTACAATACGTGGCGCTAACCAGCAGCTCCAGATGAATATTACACCATCAGTCATTTTGCCTAATCGGAGGGGTGAAGTATTTTGAGATGACCTGGCGCTCTTCGTGCGCCATTCCGCGCAGAGAGACACCTGTCGCTGCGAACTAAATGAGCTCTTCTTCAGCTTGGTTTTGACTTGACAGCTCGGTGTGTTCTGGGAAAAACCTCGGCCGTGGTTGGTCGGGTCGGGTCAGCATTAATCCGGCTTCTCCCCGATCAAGTGGGTGGAAACACCGTTCAGAAATTCAGCTCACACACACACCTTCTCGTTTATTAAGGAAGTTGACTCCTGTCAGTTTAACCGGCGCCGCGCAGAACGCAAAGGTGAGCCACTTCTCATAGATGTTTTAAAGCTTAGGACAGTGTGTTTTACATGTTAGAGGAGCTGTTTGGTCATCATGATGAAGTGTTGCCTAAATGAAGATGAAGCCAAAGCTCCACATCCTTAGTGATCATGTTGTTTTGTCTGACAGGATTTAGTGAACAGAGCTTAGCTCACAATTTTTTATGTGTAACGCAGCTCATGAAATCCGTCCCAGCTTTTCACCCACAGACCCTCTGCTGCCTTTTCAAGGACCACAGAGAGACCCGCTGAGCCCCGGTTTGAAACCTCAAAGGGGTGAATGTTGGTTTGATGTATCTTTGAACATCTCAGGATTTTTGTCAGATCAGATCAGGGGCCTGTTCAAAACTTTTATTTAAAAAAACGGAGGGTGTTAAATTGGTTATAAAAAACTTGTGCTACCGGTCGATTTGGTCGCCAGTGAAGAGCTAGACTTGGTTTCTGATTCGAGATTTTAGATATGACTGTTCTGTTGGTTCAGATTCTTTTAAAGCTGTTTACTGTAAAATTTCATTTGAAGACTTTCAGGGAGATAGAATAAAAAAAAGTGGAGTTGAAATAAGCCAAAGCCCTAAGACTTCACTATGTCAGGTGTGACTGAGGGGTCTGACGCATCAGCCTACGTGAGATGCGTCAGATACCAGAACCGAACAGTGGGTGTTGCAGGTTGATTTCCAGTGTGATGATGGCATTTTTAGTCAGATTAACTTTTGCATCTTGTTGGCTGTCTTGATCTTCAACCTGCAAAGTTGAAGAGCCACTTTTTCCTTGTAATTTGATCTTCAAGGGACACCACCTAAAAACAACAAAAGCTTAATCCAGAGGCTTGTCATCAACCGGATCTTCCCTGAAGTCATAGGTGTCACAACCTCGTTGTTTAACTGGGACTTTTCAGTGTTTCATCTACTTGGGGAACAAACTCCTTGATTATTACACATAAACGTAAGAATGTAAACTATCAAACTCCTTTAGACTGAAAATGGTCTCTAGTCAGAGAGGTGCTGATTCTTAACATTCAACCATTCCCTTGTTTTGTATCTGATCATAATAAAGATATTACATTAGCTGAAGCAGCACTGAGAAGAGAGTAGTTTTAGTCTGTTATTTATATTTCAACGCTGGTGCACAACTGGTCTTATTTTTTGCATTATCAGTGCCACAAACAAACAAATCTGCTATTAACTTTATAATCAGTGTATGAGCATTTTTAGTGCCTACAGAGCATGTCAAGTCTTGTTCCTACATAGGTGTCAGTTTATTAGGAACACCTAACTCATGACAAACACAGACAGTGACAAACTAAAGGATGACCCAACACAGAGAGTCCCAGTGAGGTGCTGGGCCCCCACGCGCCACCAGAACAGCTCCACCTTGGCACTGACTCTCCAAATCTCTGGACTCTCCTGGAGGGGTGAACACCGTTCTTCCAGCAGATGTTCCCTCATGTGGTGTTTTGATGATGTGGTGGAGATGCTGTCTAACATGTCGCTCCAACGTCTCCCTTAACTGTTCAACTGGGCTGAGACCTGTTGACCGGGAAGGCCACAGCATCTGGTTCACACCATGTTCATCCTCATCAGACCAGTCAGTGGCCCCTCGTGGATGGGGACTCTGTCATCCTGGGGGAGACCACTCAGTTATTCCAGTTAATAAATTTATTGAAAGTATTACTGTCTGTTGTGTGTGTTGGATTGTAATGAACATATAATGGAGGAAAGTCAATGGTAGGTTTAACAGGGTCAGATACAGGAGATGTTACCTTGTGTATTTTTGTATTACCTGTTCTAAAGGAAGCCTTTTTATCATGTGCTCATAAGATAGAAAAATAAAACCCCTGAAGGCTCCAGTGTTGCTGCAGTAGAGAAACTTATTTTATGGTTTTGGAGTTTGATATTACCAACTGGTGACTGGGGCTTACTGAGTTTCAATGCTTGAATTAGTCACACTAGCTTACTGGGCTAGTTAGCAATTAGCTGGCTTTCTGAATGCTTCTTTTATGACCCAGTAAGCATGTAGCTGTATCTTTTCCTTAATCCCACTTCTTTCTTTTCCTTAAATCAGTGGGTGAGCATTTAGCATCTTGTTTAATCTACCCAGAGGGTTTGATGGCATGTCAGGGAATGCTAATGAAATGTATTTGTTAAAATGGAATTTTTTTGCCAGCAGTTAGGCACCAAAGTGGATACTTAATAGTGGATAGATAATTATGTTTCCCTTTGGTGATCCTCAGGTTGAAGTTTAATTTGTCTAGTAATTTGGTAATGACCAAATACCTACCTAACTAGTGACACTGCCATCAGCTACAGTATGAATGTACTATGTATTTAATGTTAATTAGCAATGCTAACCTAACATGGTTTACGTAGTAGAGACTACATCTGTATATGGCATATTCTAGCATGGTGTAATGCCACTAGGCATTACACCATGCAAGAATACGTTGCTACGTTTTGTATTTTGGCTGAACTGACTGCATGGTGTAATGCCACTAGGCATATGACACTACGTTTTGTATTTTGGCTGAACTGACCCTTTAACCTCCTTTGTCCAGATGAGCATCACAGAGGTAAACAGTGATAACTACACAAACAATTGCAAGAAGGCGAAAATGAGTGAAGACTCCTTACCCCTGCACCTGGACAGCATCCCTCCAGAGGTAAGTGTCACTTGAGAATAAAACATGTTTTGTGCACTTGTTAACGGTGCCAACCAACACAATGGACAAGCCCATTACTGAATCTCATACAGCAGAACAGATATTGTGACAGCCCCATGATGCTGATAACATTTGCTTACACCCTCTAATAGCATGGCAAAGTTTCTGGCAAAGTTTCTGACCTGCCTCCATTACTCTTAAAGTCTGTTAAAGAGCATCCTGGATGCATTTGTGTAAAACAAAGCAGTGTATTTAAAATGTCTTGAAACAGGGTTTGCCTCTTTTGGACTTATTTCAGACTTGTAAATTAAAACTGTTCTTGTGCAAGGCCCCATGCATCCACAAGGGTGGCCAGGGTGCCTGTTAACATCACTACAAAGATACACAAAACACCAGCAACTGAAAGGGAAAACTAAAGAGTTGGAGAAAAAACACACACACAAAAGACGGAACAATCACAAATGAGACAGACCAGAATAACTCTAAAAATGGTCCGGAATGATCTAAACCACACAGAGATGCTAAGCAACCATGAAAGAGATGGAAAATGATGCTTATTTGGTGTTCAGCTATTACACAATAAAGTTACAATTAAAATGCATATTTATTATTACCAAGAAACCAGATTTACTCATATGTGCCCAGTCTGTTTGTACATGCTGTCACACTGCTGATCTGTCAGCATGTGAAACTACAGGCCAGTGTATTAATTCACGACTCCACACAAACAGGTTGAAAACACAAATGGACTGAAAGCACAACTTTCAGTGGGCGTTTCCAACTTGGTGGTCTTGTCTTTTAGCAATTTTCAGGAAGCATTCAAACTATTTACAGACATGTCAAGGTGACTGTGTGTGTAAAACCATTTCTTCACTTCTTATCACTGTGATTTCAGTTTTGTTACACAGTGTGAGAAGACGGCCTGTTTTGGGAACATTCTTTGATTAGGAAATCACAGAGCGTGATTCACACAGGACAAATCAGTGATACATTTCCTTAATTTTACAACAGAAGACTCCCACTTTTCAGCCTGTTGATCACAAATTCAAATAAGCAGACCTCAGCAGGACTGACGATCTGGAGGCGCCGTACCCAGCACCTCCTACAGATTTTTCAACCGCAACACAGGAAGGATTATCATGATGTTTACCGCACTCAGTCAGTCATGTCTTTGCAGCACTATGTGACACAAACCTTCTGAGAAACGTTCCTAAAATAATGTACAATGATTCTTGTGATACCTGTTGTTCAAGCTCCATGATTATATATCTGTCATCAGACTGAAGGAGCAACGTTACTGTGTGAGAACAACAGCAACTCTTAATACAGTGTGACAATTTCTGGATCAACTCATGAGTTTCCTTCATGAAGTAACCGGTTCTGTCAGCTCAGGGTGAAGCTTGACTTTTGCTTATCTGATAGATAGAAACATATCTGTGACCCAGTCTGGTGACAGAAATGATCAAATATGTTTTTATAACATCAGCTTCAGTTTTTTGCAACCTGTATTTCATTGCATTGCAACAATTTGTCCCCATTAAAAGTATGCAGAATTAGAAATTAGCTGCTCCAGTGTGCTGTGTACCCATGGATGTACAGACAGCTTTCACTGGGTTACTGTGATACTGAAGAAAACTTAAAAACATGAAGATTCTCAGGCAGGTTCTGCAGCCTTTTTTAGCACTGATTTCTGAGTGGCTTCGTAGAGGTTTAATCAGAGATAATGATATCCTCAGGAAGTGTAAGTCTAAATTACTGTCACTAAATTATACTGATATGCATTTCATGTTTCCATGTTTAGTCTGTCATTGAAAAAGGATCCTTATAATTTCACACAGCCCAACGTGACGTCTACAAATGTCTTGTTTTTGTTCGACCAACACTCCAAAATTTAGAGAATCACTTTACTGTTGTGAAGATTCTCAGATTTGAGAAGCTAGAAACAGCAAATATTTGGATTTTTTACTTACAAAATGAACTATTTGATTCACATTATATTAAAAAACTGCATATTCATTTTTTTCTAGTGACTAGTTTATTCTGTGACAATTGTTGCATCTCTAATCTCCTCAGCTGTATTTCTCACATTAGCATTGACCACAGCAGCAGCAGGACTGTTGGAACTTGCAGAGTAAAGAATGTGTGCGTGCCAGGCTGTTGATGTGCACATCACACCTCACGTATGAAACTGGTCCTGTGGGTGATCCAGACTACATTTCCACGTCGACACTGGGATGTACACACATACACATCCTGCCCAGACATGTTTAGCAAAGACAATCACAAATGACTTTCAGGCTGCATTTACTGCAGGTGTGTTGTAAGGTTATGTGCAGTTGTGTAGTAAAATGCCCTTTAACAATACCCCACAGTACAGTAAACATGATAAAGTACTCTGTGAAATGCGTCCACAGAAGAGCAAACATGATAAAACAGTGCCCACACCAAGGAGAAAATTTGATAAAGCTTTGTAAAGGTTGTCTTAGCAATAACTAAATCAGGAAGTGCCTGAGTGTAACTGTATATGCCACAGACGTGTCCTTATGTGTAACTTTTCTTTGGAAGAAAATGTGACAGTCCCCTACAAAGAACTCCCAACAAACAAGAAGTGAAAGCTAAAGCACCGTTTCGATGAAGAGGATGTAATGCAGCGCTCTGTGAGTTGCTGTTGTAATGGGGTGAGCAAGAGGATCTGTAGGGTTTCTAGAGGAAAACAAACTGCACTATTTAAGGTGTACAACGCAACATAAGTGTCCTCTGTGAGAAAATGTGGTTCCATCCTGTCAATGAACAAATAACGTGAAGTGCCCTGTGTGATGGAAGACTTGCTAAATAAAGACAGATGAGGCCTTGAACAATAAGAAAGATTTCTTTATTACCAGCGCTCAGAACAAATACAACAAAATCTTTATGACCCTCTGTAGCCGAAGCCCTCTACACTCAGAACCAGGATCTATTTAGAGATCTATTTAACTTCTGTTAAGATGGAAATATACAGTGTCAAGGAAACGTAGGTGAACATCTGGAATCACCGGGTTTTATACATGGTTTAAAATGTGATCTGATCTTCATCTTAGTCATAAGTGTAGACAAACACAATGTTTAAGCTAATACCACACAAACAGTTATAATCTTTAAAGTCTTCAATGAACACATCCATTAAACATTCCCAGTGCTGGTGGAAAAAGTGAGCAAGCCCTTGTGGTTGAACCTCCTTTGACAGCACTAACCTCAAACAAGTGCTTCCTGAAGCTGTGGGTGGCCACACATTGATGCAAAATGTATGACAAATTAATTCTCTTACACTTTAATAACTCAATTATTATCCCGAATAAACAATGTGACTATTAATAATGTAGCAGCGCCTTTGTTTCCTTTTTATATTCCAGAGGTTTTAAGCCCACCTGTGGGGAAAATCTTTCTGCTTTGTTGTACTGTTTCTATTATGCTGTGAAATCGAACCCCCGACTGTTCAAAGAGGAAAACACTTCAAACTCCATTTTAAATGTGTCAGCTTAGCACGCTGCCATCTAGTGGAGAAACGTCTGAAATCTCATCTGTCTGATTCTCTTGTGGGTGAAATCTGTAAGAATTAAATCTGCCAACTGCTTGTTTGTTACTGTGTGTGTGTAAATATGCTGCATAGTATCTGTACAGAGTCATTTTAATGAAAACGTAGTGTAAAAACAAACAAACCTGTTCTTTAGAAATTACAAGGCCGTTGTAAATTGAAACTACTCAAACTAAAAAGTCTATGCATTTAATTTTTAATTTTTCTAGAGTTAAGTTTGTTTGTGGCCTTCATGACATATAAACACATAAATGTGTTGCTAAAGCACAGAGAAAAATCTGATGGATAAAAGACAAAAAGGAGGAAAATTATAAAGGTGATTATAACATAAACTTGTTATTGGTGCTGATCCACTGCACAAAGACATTCATGTCAGAATCTTGTATAACTTTGCAGCTACATCATATTTGTGTATCTGTCTCTCTCCCTGCAGGTGAAGAAGTACCTGAAGCCCTTCCTCCTGTCTCAGGAGAAGCTGCAGGAGATTTCTGCTCGGCTGAAGAAGAATATGATTCAAGGTCTGGGGAAACACACACATCACAAGGCGCCTGTAAAGATGCTGCCCACCTTCGTCAGGGCCACCCCGGATGGGACAGGTAAAGATAATGCATTTTTTGTCAGATACACTGGAGCAATAGACTGTCCCGAATCAGCAGTGTGTTTTTAAACTGTCCAATAAAAGCTTGAAGCTTATTTACCATCAGACAAACTAACATAGTAATATAATGTAGCAAACATTATATTTCATCTATGAAGCCAAACTTTAAAAACTTTAAAGAGAAATGAAATTGCATCATTATGTAGCTAAAGTACACTCGGCTGCACAAGACGTTCCAATAATTCTAGTCAACAAGCAGAAATACCTGCACAGAGGCTGGAGCACTTTATCGGTTATCCAGAACAGTCTTTATTTCTTAAACTGATGTCTCAGTGCTACAAAACAAGTCACATTATGCAATATGCATTATGTAACAACACATCTCACATATCCTTCAGCCCTACAAAGTAAACAGTGTAATCTCTGCTAGAGTTTCCACAGAGGAACCATCAGACCAAATATTGTAAATCTTTCTGTTTATGTAGCTTGTATAACCGGAATTCATCACCATCATTGAGATTCATTCTTCTCCACTTGTCCATACTTGCATGTTGCTTTATGCAGCCTGAAATTAAATCTACAGACACTGCAAAGGGCTGTGAAAAGGTACAGCCCTGGGTGGAAAAAAAATCACATTTTTATTTCTATCAGTATTCACCTAAAAAAAAAGTCATTTGAACATCACTCAAAGACAAGACAGTGATGCTCACTGAGAAATGAGAAAGCACATAGGTGAGGATTCTGAAACCAGACCTCACCCATGGTCAACTTGTTCCTCCCGGCAGAGAAAGGCGACTTCCTGGCATTGGATCTTGGTGGGACGAACTTCCGTGTTCTTTATGTGCGTGTGATGGAGGAGGAGCAGAAGGTGCTGAAGATGGACAGTCAGATCTGTGCCATCCCTCAGGACATCATGCGGGGAACTGGAGAGCAGGTGACACAGTAGAAACTACGGTGGCCATAAGGTGCAATATTGAAACTGTTTTTGTCCATTAAAAAATGCAGACTGATTATTAAAATAGCTCACCTGAAGAAAAAAAAAATCCTCAAATTTAAAAGCCGGCAAGCTAATGTGGCTAATGCTAAGTAGTCACATCAGTGCTGCTTCCACAATAAAACACCTGAGAGCCTTTTGCAGGTAAACATTGGATGAAGGATGATGCTAACTGCTAACTGGCTAATATCGACTGACAGGGTGGGATTTTGTTCATAAGGCTGTGGAACCATTTCTAAACACAAACACAGTCCAAAAGGTGCATTAGTGGTCCAGAAACTCTCCCAGTTCACAGTTGCTATCTAAGTTATTAAGATGTTTACTGGAGCTCAACGTGAACAAGAAGGAAACCAGGTCATATAGTAGATTATCTTAGTTTACAGCGTTCCAACTCAAACACCTCTGACCTGGGGGAGCCTGGTTTCTGATGCTGTCATGGTTTTTCTGTCTGCCCAGTTGTTCGACCACATCGCAGCCTGTCTTGCTGATTTCCTTGACTCTCAGAATCTGAAGGGACAAACTCTCCCTCTGGGCTTCACCTTCTCCTTCCCCTGTGAACAGATTGAAATTGACAAGGTCTCTTACACACACATGCACACACAGGATGCACACACCTTGTACTGTAGGAGGTTTTAGAAGGACATCGGCCTGTTCTTTTTAAATGTTCTTGTCTCTGGTATTTCTACGCAGAGCATCCTGATCCACTGGACCAAAGGCTTTAGCTGCTCTGAAGTGGAGGGAAAAGACGTGGTGAAGTTACTGAGGGACGCCATTCACAGGAGAGCGGTCAGTCGAAAACCCTCGTACAGTGATTGTTAAACTTGAAAGTGCTGCAACATTTAGTCGATTCATGAGTTTGTTGGATCATGAATTGTTGACTGTTTTGACATTTGACGTTGCAGCATCCACATGTGGTCATTTCTCTTTCTGTTTTGAGGGTTTCTGGATGTGATACCTCTGTGATCTCTGTCTCAGACTGTGACACTTTCTACTTGTGAGAGTAGGACAGTGTGTGTGCAGGTTATCTGTGGTTCAGATTATAAATAGGAACCACACAAACACACCCGTCTACCTCTCTCTCTCCCTGTCTGTAGGACTATGATATAGGCTCGGTCGCCATGGTGAACGACACGGTGGGCACGATGATGAGCTGCGGCTACAAGGACCAGAGCTGTGAGATCGGCATGATCATTGGTAACAATACATTTTAGTGAATCACGAAGTTCAGGCTCAGATGCACCGGTCATGAATCTCACTCTGCTGCCTATTTGTGCTTCTCTCAATTGGAAGAAAATATCTGTTTTATGATATAACGTGTACTCAATAGGGTGCAGGCCCACAGCCCCTGGACCAAAACGTGAATGTTCATAACAAATCAGCGACAGCAGGATCCTCAGAACTGTTTTTGATCAACATATTCAGAGCACATACAATAATATTCACATCAATATGCCATGTACAGTTAGACTAGATGCTAAACTAACTTCTGAGCATACAGTATAATGGAAAATGGGAATCGGCCTTAAGAACATTTAGAAGAGTGCAAATCACTGGGCGCCAGCTGGACGCCAGGCTTAGCTTTAGACTGAAACTGTGCTTCTCTTCCTCCACAGGAACAGGCACCAACGCCTGCTACATGGAGGAGATGAAGAACGTGAAGCGTGTGGAGGGCGAGGACGGGCGGATGTGCATCAACACAGAGTGGGGTGGCTTCGGAGACGACGGCAGCCTGGAAGACATCCAGACACAGTTTGACGTAGTAGTGGACAAGACATCCATCAACCCTGGCATCCACATGTACATATGGCGAATGTTCAGAAAATATTTGTTGTGCACTGAAAACAGTTGGTTCGAGCAACAAAGTACTGACAATCATTTTTATATACAAAAATCTCTTCCTGTTGTATTCATGGTGAAATGGTTTCTTCTTGTTGCTATGATAGTAAATAATTTTTTAAATGCAAGACACCATCAAAATAAAAACACTGGACGATATGCTTATGGATTACAAAACAACAGTAACACACAAACTGACAGTTTCATGTCCTTGTAGCTCAGACAGTTGCTAATAATTTTGAGGTCTGCGATTTGTTAATGTAACCAGCTGCATTAATTGGCTTTTGGCCACTAGGGGGCAGGAAACTTTTGGAAGCGAGCCAAGTTGACAGATGTTTTTGATGCTTCAGCATCTTTCCCGTCCTTTCCGTCCAGTTCATCCCTGTGCTTGGTTTCCCCCTGTAGCTTCGAGAAGATGATCAGCGGCATGTATCTGGGAGAAATCGTTCGGCTGCTGCTGGTGAAGCTGACAGAGGACAAGCTGCTGTTTAAGGGAAAGACGTCAGAGGCGCTGCTGACCCCTGGCAGATTCGAGACAAGATTCATCTCTGAGATTGAGGAGTGAGTGTCTGAGTCGTCCAAGTTGTCTTTTGTCACATTGCTTCATCAGGGGCCACTGATAATGTCATTTGGTGATTTAGAGGCGTAAACTTTCTCATCTGACACTCACAGATGCCTACACATAATATTATCTGCATGTGTATATGTTTTATGGGAAAAGGCTCAGGTACAAAGATCAGTTTTGGGATTTTAAGAGCCAGTATGGGGTCATTGGGATCATGCAAATAAGAATCACATTTACTTGGAAACTATTTTTTTATCCAGTCGTATTTGTCATGGAATTGTGAGTGTGCAAAATAAATGTCAATTAAGAAACTGACATTTGAAGACTTGGTTGGCTTAAAAGTAAATACTGAAAGTTTGTTATGTGATCCTGGAAGTAGCAGGTGATATTCATTCACAGGTTCTGCTTCATTGTCGATGTTGATTTATGTCCTGACTCTGTCTCTGGTTCAGGCAGGACCGTGGTCTGAAAAACTGCCAGAATATTCTGACTGAGTTGGGCCTGAAATGGGATTCAGTTGATGTCCGTTTGGTGCGTCTGGTTTGCGACACTGTCTCCATACGCTCTGCCCATCTTTGTGCTGCTGCCCTGGCAACCATCGTCAACCGCATCCGTGAAAACCGCGGGCTGGACTATCTGAAGACCACTGTTGGGGTGGACGGGACAGTTTACAGAAAACACCCCAAGTAAGAGGGACACTGACACAGACACACCCCCGGCTGCTGTCAATCAAATGCAGACATTGACACAATAATACAAAACTATTAATAATACATGAAGAAACACCCCGTCCTTGAACCGCCACCTTATTGTGGTGGAGGGGTTTGATTACCCGAGTGATCTTAGGAGCTATGTTGTCGAGGGCTATATGCCCTTGGTAGGGTCTCCCAAGGCAAACAGGTCCTGGGTGACGGGTCAGACTAAGAGCG